GAGGGTCAGCGGCCTGACACAAGGTGGAAATGGCTCCCTCTCACAATACCCTACAACAAAAAAAAGCGCGACCAAGCCAGGCGGAAAAACGAGCAGTTGACGCATGCGCAACGCAAGGCGGGGCGGGGCGGCGGTTGTGCGCATGCGCTAAGTCGAGCAGGCGCGGCAGGGTGCGCACGCGTGCGGAGGTGTGGGATTGCTCTGGGCTGTGAGTACGTGCGCCGTGTGCTTGGTGCATGGGGAGGGCGATTGCATCGGGGTTGGTGCATGGAGCAGTCCCAGGGGCATGGGGAGGGGGGGTTGCACTCACCTTGTATTGGAGCAACCCCAGGGGTGTGGGGAGGGGGGGTTGCACCTGGCTTGGTGCATTGGAGCAGCCCCAGGGGTGTGGGGAGGGGGGTTGCACCTGGCTTGGGGCATTGGAGCAGTCCCAGGGTTGTGGGGAGGGGGGTTTGCACCTGGCTTGGTGCATTGGAGCAGTCCCGGGGGTGTGGGGAGGGGGATGCCCCCAGCCTGCTGCATGGAGTAGCCCTGAGTGCATGGTGGGGGGGGGAGGGAAAGCATCTCTGTCCTTGCTCCCTGCCGCCATTGCCATGTGCAGCAAGCACAAGAAGGAGACTTTCAGATGCCGCCAACCCCATCCTTGCTTCATGGGCGCTGGCGGCAGGTTGCAAGCTGAGGCTGAGATAGAAATTGATCTTGTAAATGAGGGATCAGCTAGGCAAGGGCTGGGATTGCTGTTGTTGCAGGGTCCCCGGAAATGGACGGAGTCACAGGTGACTTTAGCGTGACCTTGTGGGAGCAGGAGGCTGGGCAGAGCCCTCCTGCTCCCTGCTGTGGGGCATGTAGGGTTTGGGATCTGCCTGGATAAAAGAGGGGAGAGAGGGCAAGAAGGAAGTGGGCTGGGGATGAGACTGGAGCCACATGGCTGAGCACATGTTCCCCAAAAGTTTGTACCAGAAGGTGGAGCTGTGATATCCCGCCTGCTGCTGCGGTTGCTATCCCGGCCCCGGGGCGGGGCATCGCACGGCTCAGCTGTTGGGTCTCCTTTCTTAGGTGTGCTGTGAGTGCTCAGGGCAGTGGCGTGCTCCAGGCTGCTGGGCAGGTGCATTGCAGAGGCTCCCACCACCAGGTACATGGGTAGTTGTGGTCCTATGGTGTGTGCTTGATAAGAGAGCAGCAAGGAAGGCTGGCTGGTAGTGCCTTTTGGGGGGAGGAATGGGGGGCACTATAAGCAGGTAACACTGCGTTGTCAAGTTTCAATAGGGATCATGGAGAAATGTTTGCAAAGGGCTTGTTTTAGCATTGCTGAGTCGGTCCTGATTAGCTTCCGCTAATAAAAAGTGTGTGCGCGCGCAGTACTAGTTGTAAGCGTGATGTTGTAGCCAACATGGTCCTGAAATTATGCAAAGGGCAAGGATTTCTTTGCATGATCTCTTTCATTGGATCAGCATAATTGGGATTAAATCCCACGAGTCTTCGAATGTAGGATGTTCTTCCTCGGGGCGGGGATCTTGCATTCAAAAGCATGTCAGAATTGATCCCAACTATGTAGTTGGTCCATAAAAGGGATTTCCCCTAAGAAATCCCTGCCTCTTTATATATGTTCATACTTTGATTAACATGTAAGGTGTGTATCTACCTTGCCTTCTGCTTAGCCTGCCCGTGGGCCACTGAAATGTAGGAACGCAGGTTTTGTTTCCGTGGATAGGGCATGTGTCTGGTAGCCGTGTCCCCACAGGAAGCATGGAGTTTAGACCATTTAAGCCACTGTAGCAGCCGTTATTACCTTGTTATTTGCTCCCTGGCTGAGTTACACTGTGCCCTTTGTTAGTCTTCAGTTGGGCGTGTGTCGGTATATAATTTCTCGTGCCCAAAGCGTGCTCTCGGTAGTAGCCCTGCTCAATGGAGCAGTGTTGCTGGCTGCCCTACCTTATCTCATGGGACTTGGCTACCAGGTGTCTTATCTTAAAGTCCCAGTTACTGAGACCAGGAGACTATCTGAGGATCTTAATATCAAAAACGAAACCCTTCCAGCCCTCGTGGCTGCGCACGCTTGAAAATACGAGCAAGGACTCAGACGTCAGATCTGTAAAAATTGAAGTTGCTTTCTTTATCTTTCCACTCTGTGCTTTACAGATGTAATAGACAGAGCAGTGCTTCTTCAAAGCCAGAGCCTCACTGCATTGTTGTTGTGTCTGCAAAATAGGTGAACTTTCAGTGAGACAAATCAATTTCTCTGCGTTTTCTGGAGAAGCATCTTGTATCTAGCCAGCACCGTTATAATCAAGCAGTCTGAACTGTGCTGGCTGATCAAGTCCTAGGGGCTTACCCCAGTTGGGAACTGTGACTCGCCACGCTAAGAAGTGAGTAGTTCAGTGTTTTCATAATTGTTTGTTCTGTAAACTAAGGCCATTCTTAGCCGATGACTTGTGCTTATTCCCAGATGGGACTGTCTCATGGGTGTGGAGGTACTGGGCCCTGGGATGAGTGACCTGCAGTATCATAGAAAATGAGGGCTGGAAGGGACTTCAGAAGGTCACACCTAGTCCAGCCCCCCGCTCAAAGTGGGACCAGCCCCAACTACATCATCCCAGGCAAAGGTTTTATTGAGCAAGCTGGGTCTTAACCTCCAAGAATGGAGACTGCACCACCTCTCTGAGTAACCTGTTCCAGGGCTTCACCACCCTCCTCGTGAGAGCGTTGTTCCTAATACCGAACCTCAACTTTCCTTGCTGCAACTTGAGCCCGTTGTTCCTTGTCCTGTCATCTGCCCCCCACTGAGACCAGTCCAGCTCCGTCCTCTTTGCAACCCCCGGCAGGGAGCTGAAGGCTGCTCTCAGATCCCCCCTCAGTCTTCTCTTCTGCAGGCTAAATCAGCCCAGTTCCCTCAGCCTCTCCTTACCAGTCATCTCCCCCAACCCCCAAACCATTTTCATTGCCCTCCTCTGAACTGTCTCCGTGTCCTCATCCCTTCTGTAGTGCAAGGCCCAAAATTGGACACGACTCCAGATGTAGGGAAGTGATTCAGCACTGATGAAGCTACATCTGCTGACAACGCTCCAACCAGTGCAACCCAGGATGCTGTTAGCCTTCTTGGCACAAGGGCACACTGCTGGCTCATCCAGCTTCTTGTCCCCTGTCACCCCCATGTCCTTTTCTGCAGAGCTGCTGCCTAGCCCGTCACCCCCAGCCTGCATGGGCGCATGGGATTGCTCCCTCCTAAGTGCAGGACTTTTTGCACTTGTCCTTACTGAACCTCATGAGATTTCTTTTGACCCAATCCTCCAATTAGTATGGGTCCCTCTGAATCCTAGCCCTGCCCTCCAGTGTATCTGCTACTCCCCCCAGCTTGGTGTCACCTGCAGACTTGCTGAATGCCATCTTCCAGGTCACTAATGAAGATATTGATATGAGTGCCCCAGGACTGACCCCTGGGGCACTCCACTTGATACTGGCTGCCAACTAGACATTTGAACCATGATAACTACCGATTGAACCTAGTGATCCAGCCAGTTTTCTATTCACCGTACAGTGCATTCATCCAACCCATGCTTCCCCAGTTTGCTTGCAAGAATGCTATGGGAGACTGTATCGAAAGCCTTGCTAAAGTCAAGGTATATTATATCCACCGCTTTCCTCACATCCGCAGAGCCAGTCATCTCATCGTAGAAGGCAGTCGGGTTGGTCAGGCATGACTTGTCCCTGGTGAATCCACACTGACTGTTCCTAATCACCTTTTTCTTTTCCCAGTGCTTAGAAACAGATTCCTTGAGGACCTGCTCCATGATTTGTCCAAGGACTGAGGTGAGGCTGACTGGTCTGTAGTTCCCTGGATCCTCATTCTTCCCTTTCTTAAAGATGGGCACTATATTTGCACTTCTCCAGGCATCTAGGATCTCCCCCGATCGCCACGAGTTTTCAAAGATAATGGCCAGTGGCTCTGCAATCGCATCAGCCAACTCCCTCAGCACTCTCAAATGTGTTGCATCTCGCCCCATGGACTTGTACATGTCTAGCTTTATTTATTGAGCACTTCAGCCTTTCTCTTGTCATCTGTCACTAGGTTGCTTCCCCCATTCAGTAAGGGACCCACGCTTTCCCTGATCTTCCTCTTGTTGCTGCCATACTTGTAGAAACCTGTCTGTCTTACCCTTCATGTCCCTTGCTAGCTGCAACTCCAACTGCACTTTGGCCTTTCTGACTTCATCCCTGCATGCCCGAGCAATGCTCTTATACTCCTCCCTTCTTGTATGTCCAAGTTTCCATCTCTTGTAAGCTTCCTTTTTCTGTTTAAGCTCACCGAAGAGTTCTCTGCTAAGCCAAGCAGGTCACTTTTCACATTTTCTATTCTTCTTACACGTCAGGATGGCTTGTTCCTGCACCCTCAGTTTCTTTACAGTCATCTGGTGGTCGCTGCTGCCCAAGTTGCCATCTACTAGTACGTTCCCCACCAATTCTTCCCTGTTTGCAAGCAGCAGGTCAGAAAGAGCATGGCCCCTAGTTGGTCTGCCCAGCACTTGCATCAAGAAGCTGTCCCCAAGGCTCTCAAAACCTTCCTGGTTTACCTGCACACTCCTGTTGCCCTCCTAACAGAGTGATTTGAAGTCCCACATGAGAGCCAGGGCTTGCAATTGGGGAAACTTCCACTAGTTATCTGAAGAAAGCCTCATCGTCCTGGTCTGGGTGTCTCCCATCAATGGGATGCACTCCACCTCCGCTGTTGCTAGTGCTCTGTATCTGTTCTCCAGGCAAACCACTGCAGGTAGGGATAAAAATGCCTTGCTTCCACCTTCCTGGGAGTGTGCATCCTATTCCTTTCCTAGCACCAACTCTGTAAGTCCTAGGACTGTGGAGGAAGAAGTTTCCTCCTGCATGGGATCAATGAAGTCCTCATGGTGGAGGATACTTTGCAGCCTTGCTACCTCCTCCTCCTGTAGCTCTCTTGCCTTCTCCCCGAGGGACCGCTCGCATTGCAGGCACTTCCCGGCCTGGCTGATATGGGAAGAAACCTGCAAGCCGCAGTCTGCACAGCACCAACCCAGGACCGGGGTGGGAGCCTCGATGGTGTAGGGTCCTGCCTGGACAGACACCTTGCAGGTGGAAGCAGGGGCTGAAAGTGGCAGTGGCTCTGGGATTGGGATGTCCTCCAGCCATGTCTCTGGGGTTTCTAATCTGCTGCCTCTTCCTTGCCTCTGTTTCCAAGCCACCTTCCCCTAGCAAACACCTCTGTAGCTGGACTGTTTGCTGATCCTGAAGGGCTCCCTTTCCCCTGCAAACCTCTGATCTCTCAGCAAGCTTACACTGAAGACAAGTGAGAGGGAGTTTCCAAGCAAGCTCCTCCTCCCTCTGGACTCTAGTGAAACAAGGGTTCAGGATCCCCTTCAAAGAGGGGGGTTGCAAACTGTCCTGTTTGCTTCTCCCTGTTCTCTGCTCCCCACGAGATGAGATGAGATTTTCTCCCGTGTTCCTGCTGGGAAACTGGGACAGCTGAAGGCCATGGACACTGCAGCTGGGAGCGCTCAGTAACCACCTCGGCTGGGGAAATGTTGCAGTTGCTTTGTCCTGCTTTGACTTTGGCTTGGGGAGGGATACTTGCTGTTCTGAGGCCTTGCTATCACAACAGCATGTTGGTGTCCTCAAATCAGATGCCCTGGGATTTGTAAGAGCCAAAGAAGTCAAGGGTGTCCTGTTTGGAAGCTGCTGCAGCCATTCCCATGGTCTTTGAAAGGGGAAGGAGTGCATTTGTCAGGAGAGCTGCTAATACTGGCCTTAGCTGCACTGGACATGTTGAGAGGAGCCAAAATGAATGCCTCGCCTATATTTATACAGGCAGTCAGTGCTGCTTGCTCAATGCCACGTGTCTTGCATTGGCAAGACTCGGTCGTTCCATAGGTAGGACTGAAGGGAAAGGCCTAGGAAAGCATGAACTTCTGTAGAAGACTGTAGTGCAACTTCTAGCCAGGAGTCGCAGAAGAAAGCTGTATTGTAGTCTGCTGTTTACATTTCCTTATAGTCTTCATCCCCAGCTCCATGCCACAGAGATTCAAATCTTAATGTGTTCTCTTGCTCTTCCAGGTTTCAATCCAGTTGCTGAAGTGCATCCAGGGCACAGATGGATCAGGCCAGGGCAGCCATCTCCAACTTGGTAAGATTCCCAATGCAGAATCAAATGCCTTAAATTGCTGCATCTCTCCTGTGAGAGTGCTTGCTCTTCTTCTGGCTTACAAAGGGTGATTTGGTCTGACCTTCTCATGAGTGTGGCCTGCTCTTAGAAAGTGTGTGGTGCAGGTGTGATGCCATGCCAGTGTCTGAGTAACTTCCTGGTGTCCAGTCTCAGACATCACTGGGGCCTGCCTTTTGATTTCTGAATTAATCCCCTTGGAAAGTGTTGGGTTTGGGCACTCCAACTGGAAAGTCTTTTTCTTTAACTATTGCTGTACTTATTGCAGCTGGTGGACTCCCAGGGTAGAGGTTGTTGGAGACCCAGAGGCCTTCAGTCCTGGGTTTTAACCTTTGTGCTGAGCATAAGTGGAAACGAAGCAATAAGGCTAAGTACAATTTAGGTTAGAGACTTGCACCTGGTGGAAAGGGGCATGATGGAAACATATTGTCCCTGACTTAAAACGAATTGGGAAGTTGACTAACTCAATTGGATAAATGTAGCCTGGGCAAGAGAGAGAGTCAGAGCAAAGCCTATCTCCCCACCTACATATGAAAAGATTACTTAATGGAAAATTACAGCTATGCAGCAAAAACAAGTTCATATTTGGCAAACAGAAACAGGCTTATTGATTAGGCATTAGGGAGAAGGCTTAAGCTAATTGTATGTATTAAGAAACGTAAACTAAATGGTATATAAAGAGAGGCGAGAGAGCGTACCCTTCAGACCCTAGTCCTGAAAGATCCCATCACTGATTCAAGATTGGGGACTCAGAAGGAGTCAGCAACCCCGGACAAGACCTCACGGACCAGCCATCCAGAGATGCCACATTCGTTAAATCTTGAGGTGGCGAGCGTGTTGTGATGCTTTTGACAAACTATAGCAGTAAACCTGTAATGGCTAACAGTGTAAAACATTTGTTGGTTAAGGAGTAACAGTGTCCTGGTCTTGGAATTAACACCTTGTACAACCCTGAATTGACGTTGCTGGACGTAACAAGGCAGCTGTGCTGGCCAAGAATCTCTGCCTCAAGCATTGCACAAATTCCTTCGAACCATGTAAGCCTCATCCCAGCAGAGCTTCATCCACATTGGGGCTTTGACCATCCTACGTAGGTCAGCTACAGCTGTAAAGACGTCATGCCCTGCAACAGATGCGGTGCCGACTCTAGTGCAGATGAAGCCTACGTCGTTTTCCTGAACTTTTTATGTGACTGTTCAGCTTTTTGAAAAAGCAGAAAATAGTAATAATAATGGGGGGGGCGGTGGAGTGTAGAACTTATCCAGCTTTTGCCTAGGGAATGACTCCTAAATTCCCTGAGATATGGAAAACCTCAGGAAACCATTGAACAAAATCTGTGCCTTGCCCCCAGCGTCCATGGGGACATGCTACAGTGAATGGTCAAAACCTGATGTCTGAGCCTGGGGAATAGGTGAGGGTCAGGAACAACTAGGCATCAGGTTCACTCTTTGGGGCATCTTTGAGCTGCTCCCAACAGTGTCTTGTGTGGTCCTTGTGTGAATGACACCCGTGCATGGCTGTGGAAGGAGTGACCTCTGCAAAGAACCGTTGAGGGAACTAACAGGTTGGCCACGTCTGTTGTTCTTGCTCACTTTATTTCCTTTCTGTTTAGTTTGGAGGCGAGCCACTGTCATACACGCGGCTCAGCATTGCTCGGCAGACCGACGGAGACAACAGTCAAGTGGAAATGAAGCTGTCTGCTGAGGAGGAGGAAGGAGGTGAAAACGGCATGCCGGAGAACATGCAGACCCACCATGTAGCAAAACCCAGAACTTACTACAGCTGGTACTGCATCGCCATGATGGTGGTGGTCCTCTTCCTGAGCGGTAAGACACAGGCAAAGAAGGTGGTGGGGAAGTCTCACAAAGTGGACCTGGGCTCTGACATGTGAGCTCTAGACAATGCCCGAGCCCGTCCTAGTGACCCCGGATGCCCATCTTTCAGGGGACTGGTAGAGACCCTGACTCCAGCTTTGTAGCAGATGCCAACTAGTGTGTTAATGTTTAGGTTGAAATGCAGGCTCCCATTCTACATAAAGGTCAGTCTGTGACTGACGGCACAGGTGGGCTTTGAGCAGTGCCCACTAAGCCAAAAGGCAAACAGTTGCGGAGAGGGCCGGATCAGGGCATAACGAGTTGTATGGGCTCACAGTTGCAGCAGGTGTTACGATTTGTGGAGGCTGCTGATCTTTTGGTACCCCAGTGGGGATTTGTAGTTGTAATAATAATAAAGCTGATTTAAGGCAGGCAGAACTGCCTTGAGGGGCATCGAGATGTATCCTACATTAAACAGGACTCTTCTCAAAGGTTGTTTTCTATCCGCCCTTACAACATGGAATCATACCTTTAAAATTCAGGTGTGTGTGTATGTGTACTCGCCTCCTGCTCTTAAACCACCCTACCATTGGCGGGTTGATACAGGAACAGCATGGCCTCCTAGAAAATCTGGTGTCTCCTGAAATTCACAGTCAGAAGGCTTGAGCTGTTAACATAGGGCTGGCTTGGCTTATATATATGGCACCTGGCAGCCTCTCATTTCCTTGTTTTCTAGGGTTTCTCGTCGGCTACTTGAGTAGCCGTGGGCGCATGCCGACAAGTGGACTTTGTGCGGATGGCAATGGGCAGTGCACCAGCTCTCCTCCCACTCCCTCCAGCATACTGGATCTGGATGAGACGGTGGAAGAAGAGCCTCTCACGGAGCCTATCCTGTACTGGGAAGATCTCCAGAAGATGCTGTCAGACAGTCTGAAAAAAGGAAACATGGAGCTACACATAAGGTAACAGCCTGTGGGAAGCCTGAAGTCTGCAGCATATGAAGCACAGCGGTTCTGCCAATGCTCCTGCCTTGGACCTGGGGTCTTGGGGTGCAGCTTCCAAGTGGCTTGGTCACGACTGGGCTACTGCATTTCACATCCCGAGTGTAGCTCAGCCTTGATTTCTTTTCAGGGAACTGTCAACGGGCTCCTCCCATGAAGCTGGCTCCCCGGAAGATGACAGACTTGCTTACTACGTCTATCAGCAGTTTACCTACTTCAACTTGTACAAAGTCTGGAATGATGAGCACTATGTCAGACTGCAGTTTCCAGGCAGGTAGGTTTAATGGAGCTAGGCATGGGAGGGAAGCTTCCCTTCATGCGTGTTTCTCTTTTTATCCTTGTCCTAAAGCAACACAGCAGTCTTCTGTAGCAAATGCATTAATGCCTTGAGCCAGCTAACCTTTTAAAAGATCTCTGCTTCCCTTAGGCTCTTCCAAAGCATCTTATCCTTGTCTTCCCAACTAGTTGTAATTGGTTACCGCAAAAACACTATTGGAGTGTTCTTCTTACCAGCTAGTCCTGCAGAAGTGGTCAGAAAACTACAAGGGCCTCCGATCTTCCTGTCAAATTGCAAGAATGTCTTTACAATAGGTACTTCACACGTGGGTGGCTTTTCAAATCCAAAGCTTTGTCTGGGAGCTAATATGATTCTGCGTCAGGCATAAAGTCAGCTTGCTTCTCTCTTCTGCCCTAGTGCTGAACATCAAGGGAAAAAACCCTGCAATTTCCCAGGGTTCCCTGTTCCCCTGTAATAGGAACTGCTGATAGTGTATCTGCTCGTAGGTCTAATGCAGTCTCTTGCTGTTTAATAGCTCACCCAATCGTGTCAGCATTACAGATGATGGTGGACAGAGCACTACTCTGGAAGAGCCTGAGGCATATGTGGCATTCAGTGAAAATGCAACGGCTAAAGTAAGTTCTTTCCCAACATCCTGGGAACCATTTTCTGGAAGAAGCCTGTCATGGCTGCCTGCGTAGCTAACAAAGCAGTAGCACGGGGGCTGAGGATGCAAGAGCACAACACATTTTACTTTGGAGAAGTGGAGCAGAGAGGTGACTCCAGGCTCTCTCCAGTCTGCTACCGCTGTTGCCTTTGCTGTTGAGCTGCTCTGTGCTCACAGCAGACCAACTCCCCTGCCGCCCAGCGGCCAGGTGCTGTGATAGCACGCAATCCAGGCAGTCGTGTTGGGGACCTGATGGTGCGTCTGCTCCTTCCTTACCCTGGATCTTGCCCCGAGTAAATGCGTGTCTGCACCCGAGACCCGACCCTTTGAACCGATAGCTGAAACCTGCTTAATTGCCCTTGCATAGTGCTATGCTTCTAGTTAAGCAGAGCGTGACTGGATGGAGTTGGCGCAGCTTACCATGAAGAGCCAAGGTCTCCCCTGTATCTGACCACTTCAGGCCTGCTTGATGTGACACTTGTCAGGCCTTGGACGTGTACACTGCTCCACTTGCTAGGTGCGCTCATGTCATACCATCGATTCTCATGTCTGTTGCTTCAGTGAGATGGATAAATCTGTCCACCTCCGGGCAGTCTCGTTGCAGGGAGGGAATGACCCTGATTTGTGCAGAATGTGCCATGCCCTGCAGCTTCCTCAACCGGGCAGCGAATGAACTCAGACTGGTGACTGCAGCCATAAGCAGCATGTCTTTCTCTTGCAGGGCAGACCGGTTTATGCTCATTATGGCCGCAAAGAGGACTTCAAGCAGCTCAGTGACTTGGGGGTCTCTGTCAATGGATCCGTGCTCATTTTCAGAACTGGAGATATTTCTGTTGCGGAGCAGGTAAGCTGATCCCGCTCTACATGTTTCTGTCCAGCATGCTCTGGTCACGTTGCGTTGTGTAACGTGGGCAGGTCTGAAAAGTTGTTTGGCCAGTATTACTGCCTCCAGGCAAGCTGCTTTCTGCTTGCAGAGGGTTCCTCTTTGCTGGCTGGCATGACTGTTGGGTGGGGGTAAAGAAAGCTTGAACTTAGCTCCTGAGAGGAGAAAACCGACGTTGTAACCTCCGGGAGTTAGAAATGGGCAAGGCAGAAGCTGGTCTGTGGCATAGCAAATTGCTCCGAAGCTTACAGGTGGAACTGGTCTGGCGAGGAGTCGTGGTTTCCTGGGTCTCGTGGCAATCGGTGCAGATGAAATAATGTTGGTTCGTGTTGGAGTGGGGAGGTCTTCTTTTGAGGAGCAGCAATTGGAAGCTCGGCAGGGAGGCAGCCTCTTGGCGATGGGCCTCTTCTTCCCCCTGAAAATCCTGCCAGGTGCTCAAGCTCTTTGAGAGAACATCTTACACATGCTCCAACTTGCTAGGCTGTTGAAGCCAAACTGCCCCAAGATTGGGCTAAGCCAGGCAGGCTCTGGCCTGGCCTCAGTAGGAAGCTTTGTTGCTGCAGATCCGGGTCGCTCCGGGCATCTCAAGGTGGGCGGGAGCCCGTCTCCTGTGTGCTTGGGGTGTTCTGTGCACCACCTGCCTGAATCTCCAAACCCCTGCCTCATGCAAGCATGGCACAGAGAGAACTGGGGATCTCTAGGCAAGAAGATCCTGCTTTGAGGAGCAGACTGGCATGCTCCACTCCCACACATACCGAGGGAATGGAGCTGGATGTGGAGACAAGGGGGTCAGGTTATAAGTGGTGGTGAGTGGGGGTAGAAGAGCAGGGACATGGCCTTCAGGGCATGTTCCCATCTCAACTCTGGGACTCAAGGGTTCGAGTCTCTCTGTTCTCTTCCTCCAGAGTGCCCCTGGCAGCATTTCGGCTTTGTCTGCCGGCGTCTTAAAAACCTCCAGGGATGGAGACTGCACCATCTCTCTGGACAACCTGTTCCAGTGCTTCACCACCCTCCTAGGGAGAGAGCTCTTTCTAACAGCCAACCTCTACTTCCCTTGCTGCAACTTGAGCCCATTGCTCCTCGTTCTATCATCTGCCCCCACCCAGAACAGTCCAGCTCCATCCTCTTTGCAGTCCCCCTGCAGGGAAGTGAGGGCTGCTATTCAATCCCCCTGTCTCTTCTCTAGACTAAATAAGCCCAGTTCCTCGCATCTTCCCTCATAAGTCGTGCCCCTCACCCCCTCACCATTTTCATTGCCCTCCGCTGGACTGTCTTCAACGTGTCCACATCCTTTCTGTAGTGGGGGGCCCAAAACTGGACACAGGACTCCAGATGTGGCCTCATCAGTGCTGAATAGAGGGGAAGAATCGCTGCCCTGGATCTGCTGGCATCGCTTCTACCAATGCAGCCAGGATGCCGGTAGTCTTCTTGGCACCAAGGGCACACTGCTGGCTCCTGTTCAGCTTCTTGTCCCCTGTCACTTCCAGGTCCTTTTCTGCAGAGCTGCTGCCCAGCCCGTCACCCCCAGTCTGTACTAGTGCATGATGTGGTGCTGGGATGTTGTTAGCTTAAAAACCTCTTCTCCTTCACTCACATTTATGCCACAAAAGTATCTAGAAAGAAATCCTGTTCCTGCAGTCTCATATAAAGGGGCTTGTTGAGCTTAAATATTTTCTTTTCTTAGTCTTTCTTCCCTGAACCATCTCAAGGGTGCAGGGGGGAGCTGTTGCCCCTTCCAGTTAAAGGTACATTTCTTACCAGAGCTTTGCTCTGTGCCTTAAATGTGGTCTCATCAATGCCCTGTACAATAGGCCGAGTGCTTTGTTTCTGGTGAGTACCCCTGCCTGCTACGCCCTGAGACTGCATTGCCTTTTTTACACTTGCTTTATACCAGCAGTCCTGAGTTGTGCTGCAGTTGACCAAGTCCCCCCTCATCCTGCACTGTCTGCAGTCTAAGGTCCGTTGTACACAGATCAATGACAGAGACTTGTGTGAAGTGCATGACTTGCCATTTAAGCATCATGTGTTGTCGTCGTCGTCCGCCTCCTTCCCCTCCCCCCACACATCATGTCATGCACAAATATAGCAAGGGTGCTTCTGGTTTCACTCCCAGGTGGGTCTTGTTAGATGGGGGTGGTTCCTTCGCTTTTTCAAAAAGTACGTAGAATAAAGCATTACCCCAAATGGAGTCCCTTTGCCCTTGTGCGCTCTCTGCCTCCTATTTGTACCACCTAGAACATGGTTTTATAACACTGCCTCGCCTCAGCGTTTATTTGACAGGCAGACTTCTGTTCCTGAAGCACTCGGATGTATTCAAGTAAGCGGCATGAAATAAAGCTTATGACCACTTGAATTGTGATCCCACCTCAGGTGGGGTTGAACTAGATGTTACCCATGGAGGTCCCTTCTAGCCCTGTTTCTGTGCAGATCCTTGAAGCAAAAGTGCCACGTCCCTTGCAGCCTCCCTCTTGAGAACCTGGAGGCTGATTCCCCTGGGAATGAGCTGTTGCAAGAACCAAATGATTTGCTGAATTAGTGGTTCAGCCTCTACTACCCTTCCTTCTTTGCATGTCTCCCTGGGACCCGTGACCACGTCTGAATCGAGCTAACGAGGGTAACGGTTCTTCTCAGGCCTGGTCCTTCTGTCTTGGGGGCTGACTTTGAGGAGCTGTGGCCCCAGCCACAGAACGAGCCTTGGAAACGAGCAAGTTGTTGCCAGAGAACTGGGCATCTGTGCACTGAGTGAGGTGGGGGTCCCCAAGGAAAAGCAATAGGCACGGGGGTCGGACGCGATGATCTGTTGAGGTCCTTTTTGACCCTAGCATCTATGAATCGATATGGACTGCAGCATAATGTGTGCATGGAGAGTGACAAATGCCAGGTTGTCCTGGCAGTGTTAAACCCAGTGCCTGACGCAGTAATAGTTCATGCCTGACGTGATGGTTTTTGAGGCATATGAACAGCACTAACTGGCTTGCAGCTATCCGTCAGCACACACCTGGACAGTTAATCCCATCTCTCCCCAGGTGGCTAGTGCCGAACGCTTGAATGCTGTTGGTGTCTTGATCTTCCCTGGCTATCTGAAATCCAGCAACGTAGAAAATCTGGGTCTCTTTGGACACGTAAGTACCGTGGCAAGTGGGATTATCGACTGTGTCCCCTTCGCCAGTCGGCCTTGGTAGCACTGAGGCCTGGGTGATCCACCCTCCCATGGGTCAAACCTAGAAGCACAGGACAGACTGAAGTCACAGCTGCAGCCTTGTCAAATAAAATCACGGAAAACAAGGAAGGGACCTCAGGAGGTCTCATCTAGTCCAACCCCCTGCTCAAAGCAGGACCAGGCCCAACTTCACCATCCCAGCCAAGGCTTTGTCTACCCGGGCCTTAAAAACCTCCAAGGATGGAGATCCCACCACTGCTCTGGGGAACCCGTTCCAGTGCTTCACCACTGCTAGTGAGAGAGTTTCCTCATATCCAGCCTAAACCTCCCTGGCTGCAACTTGAGCCCATTGCTCCTTGCTCTGTCATCTGCACCACTGAGAACTGTCTGCCAGAGGCTGTGCAGCTGTATAGCCACTCCCTTCCCTTCCCTTCTGCCTCCACCCCCCAATTTCTTATTGCTTGGGGAAACATATGCTGAGGCCTGTACATGTTTCCTTTATTTTCACAGGCTCACCTAGGAACAGGTGACCCGTTCACTCCCGGTTTCCCATCTTTCAACCATACTCAGTTCCCGCCAGCTCAGTCTTCTGGGCTGCCACACATTCCTGTTCAAACCATCTCGTTCAGGGCAGCCAACAATCTCTTCAGGTAATAAGGTCTCTCCAAAGTCCCAGCTGTGCTGAGACCTTGTAATGGGCTTTCCTCCCCACCCCCCCCCCCAGTTTTCCCCTTTATCAGATAGAAAGGGAAGGGGAAGATGGAGAAAGGGAAAGGATCTCTTGTTAGAGGAGGGTTGACTGAGTGTGGAGGAAGATGGAAAAGGCTGAAGACAGGGCCAGGACCGGGAGGGTATCTGGCTAGAACTGAGTGGGCCGGCAGGCAGGCTTGTAGATGCCCCCGGCTCTGAGGACAGGGTCCTCTCCCAGCGCCCCGACCACTGCAGACGCAGCGAGTCGTCACTGGCATAGGGAAGGCTGTTGAAGCGAGGCCCAGATTGGGTTGTGAGGGGAACCTCCAGTACCTGCCATCAATTTGAAGAGGCACCAGTCCCAGTCCTGGATCCCGTATCAAAATATGATGGGACATGGCTGCCCATCCTTGTGGAGAGGTCTCTGCTCTTCCAGTTTGGATTTCTTGGCATGCTGTTGGCCAAATGCAGGCAACAGCAATGGATAGTGATACAGGACTAGGCTTGTCAGGGAAGGTGTCTTGCAGACAGAGGTGCTAAGCGAGATGTTCAAAGCAGAGAACGCACAAGGTGGTGCTTCAACACTGTGTGTGTCTGTCTGTCTGTCTTGCAGCCAGCTGACAGGAGGGCAGGAGTGCCCCCTGCCTTGGAGGGACGGCCTTAGTTTTTGCAAGGTGAAGGCCTCGAGCGCAAGCAGCTTGAATGTGGTGGTCCAGGTGAACAATGTGGTTATGGAGAGAAAGATCCTGAACATCTTTGGAGTCATCCGGGGTTTCGACGAAGAAGGTATGCATGGTGCTGGGCCTGCAGCTCCTGCCCTCTATGTAGCCCATGGCTGTACCCAGTTAATACCCCTGCCTTAGCCCTCAGTGAGGAAGCAGGGCTGTGAAACGGCCCCTTGTCCTTGCATCTCTGAGCATGCGGCAGCGCGACCTTTCGGCATTGGTGGAAGAGAGATGTGCGGACCTTGGGGTTTAGTAAGTCATGCCAATGAACCAAGGATGAGTTGTAGTGAGCCCTAGCTGTATTCAGGTCATGGAATAAGTCAGCTGCATGCCAGGCAGCACTTGGGAAGGTCTTGGAAAAAGACAGCCCAGTTCAGCAAGTGTCTGCATAGCAACAATCCCAAAGCAAACCACGATTATAAAAGTGGAGGTTAAGTTTTGTCCAGCCAGGTTGTCACATTGGTTAGCAACCTCAGTAAGACACAAAAGGGCCCCGGACACATGTTGGGGGCCAGCAGACTTGTTAGTGTCTAGGTACTGGAGCCACCCTGTACAGTTCTTGCCTGCAAGGGACTGGCAAGAGCCCTGATGCACTGCAGTGTGGAAGAAAGGGCAGTTAAGCTGGGCCTCGTAAGGTTTGCACTTCTGGCACTAGCCCAACCAGCCTGTGGCACGTGGGTGGGTCTTAATATGTCAGACTTGGTACTGTTAGCCCGAACATGTGCCCGGCAGTGGTTGTGGAGCTGCAGCCCTTCTGAGACTGCCTGGTCCTGTCTAGCTGCTACAAGCTACGTGGGTTCAGCTTATCCTGTGGAAGGAACGTAACCACGCCGCGGCTTCTGAAGGACTGTCTTGACGCTTCCCTTGCAGATCGGTACATCGTGATCGGAGCGCAGCGGGATTCCTGGGGCCCTGGGGCAGCGAAGGCCGGTGTGGGCACCTCCATCCTGCTGGAGCTTGCTCGTGCCATTTCGGACATGGTGAAAACAGGTAAGACACTGGCCCGACTCTATAGTGAGGGTGTTGGGTACAGTGGAGGAACCATCTGGCGGTTGAATAAGTCAGACCAGAGGCTGTTGCTTCAGGCCAGCTGCCAGTTGATCCACCTGTGCTAGTTGATCCACAAGGATTTCTCTTTTCCTCATTCTTTCCTCCTTGCCTGTGGCTCCCAGTGCAGGGCAGTTCCTGCTGGTCATACAGTCTCGTTTGTGAGCAGCTCTATCTGCATCTTGTAAGGACCCATGTCTCAATCCTGGAGGCTCTTAAACCACAGAATTGTAGAAAATGGTGTGAAGGGATGTCAGGAGGTCACATCCAGTCCAACCCCCTGCTCCAAGCAGGACCATCCTCAACTGAATCATCCCAGCCACAGCTTTGTCTACCCGGATCTTCATAGTTTCATAGTTGGTAGGGTTGGAAGGGACCTGAGCAGATCATCAAGTCCGACCTCCTGCCATGGGCGGGAAAGTCTTCAAAACCTCCAAGGATGGAGACTTCACCACCTCTCTGGGTAACCTGTTCCAGTGCTTCACCACCCTCCTAGTCAGAAAGCTTTTCCTAATATCCAACCTCAGCTTCCCTTGCTGCAACGTGAGCCTATTCCCCATTGCTCCTTGTTCAGGAAAGACAAGCCTGTAATAACCAGACAACAGCACTCAGGGCTTAGTCTGTGCTTCTAGTAGGTATAGACGTGCGTGCGCTCTTCCAGGCTTCAATGATAGTGGAAGCACAGTTTGGCCAAAGACCTCCACTTCTGGGGATGACCGTGGATGATCTCCTTTGCTCTCATGGTCCCGGGACACAGGACTCGACTTCTCTTTCTCTTGTTTGCAGGTGGCTACAAACCCAGAAGAAGCATCGTCTTTGCCAGCTGGAGCGCTGGCGATTTTGGAGCTGTGGGTGCTACCGAATGGCTGGAGGTACTCAACCCAGCTTCTTTAACCTATTCAAACGCTTGAGCTAGCTGCAGGGCTGAGACTCTGTTCCGACCTCAGGGTGTTTCTGTGCGTTGTTTCTCCCACATGACATCTGCTTTCTCTCTGCTCAGGGTTATTCTTCCGTCCTGCATGCCAAGGTCTTCACTTACATCAACCTGGATGCTGCAGTTCTAGGTAATGGACCTGGTTTTTGTTTTTTTTTGTTAGTAAGAGACTGCAAATAAGAGGCCAGAGTGTCAAAACTACTCTGACCTGTCATGTTCTTCCCGAGTTTTGCCACGGAAATATTGCTGTACGTTTTCCTTCAGGTATATATAAAAAAACAAAACAAAAAAAAAAAAAAAACCCTGAAAAGGAATAGCTGGTGTCTTCCAAGGGATGTCTTGGGTCTCATGAGGTTGAGAATTGCTGGCTATACACTATTCTAGGACCACTTGTAGGTGTTAGCAGCCCACTTGTGGTGGGGAAAGGAGTTGTCTTCAAAGATGCTAAATAACTGGAAACAACTCTGAGACTTGCAGGGAAACCATGCTCCCAGGTATCTGACTCAGAGGTCACCAGCTGTTCTCTCAGCTTATCCCAAACTCTCCAGCGTAGGGGAATTATTCTTTCCCTTGCTGGTAGTTCCTGTTAAGTCGTAGTCTGGAGCAGCACAAGCTTTCAAGCTCTTTAGCTTGTGTACAGGCACTCCAGGAGAGACTGGCTGATGTTTCCTATAGAAACAGCAACTCCAGTGGTCGTTCAGCTGGTCGTACTCATGTCAATCCTCTTTGCTTTACAGGTGCCAGTGACTTAAAGGCGTCTGCCAGCCCGATGCTTTACACCATCCTTGAGAGAATCTTGCGGGGGGTGAGTGAGTCCTTCTGTGGAGACAGTCTGAGCTCCCTTGAAAGTTGCTCTTGGGTCCCTTAAACAGGCCAACGCCATGCAGCTGTCAGTAGTACCAGAGATCTCGAAATGGGCCGCCTTGTTTGTTGTCAAAATGGTCAGCAAACTTGCCATCTTACCAGGCCACGGGGTCTTAAGTCCCTGCACTTGCTTCCCATGATCTGTGATGCCCATGCTCGCGCTGCTTCTCCAGGTGCTGCAGTGGGCTACCCCACATCCTAGCTGCCTTCCCTGTTTGTGTGTAGTGGAGGCCGTTCTCCCAGCCTTCCTTTACCAGTGTTCACGCTCACTGCCTCCGCTTCACTGATTCTTCCGTTGTTAAGATGTTGACTGGATGTGGAAGCAAGCATCTCGTGTACAGCAAGCTGTGCATAAAGCCCTAGCATGTGAATGTCTGCGCTGGGGTCAGTCCAGCCCATGCTCTGCCCCCAGTAGCAGGAGAAATGAGGCATGTGCACTGGGATCCATCCCTCTCACCAGCAAAAGATTAAATGCTTCTAAGGCACAGGCGTGACCCCAGGCAGTTGCTCATCCCACAAACATGGTGTCAACCCCCGAAGGGACAAGAAGCCAGTGCCTTTGCTTCCCCAGAGCAGGCACTTTGCTCCTTCCTTGGTGTTGGATCTTTGCAAACTCCCTTGTCTGCTTGACATGGCAAATTGTCTTCTAGGAATAAAACCTTGCCTCTTCAGCCAGGCCTGGATGGGCCTCCATCACTGGGATGTTGCATAGAGACTGCAGAGTGCGTGGCATACTTCAGGCTCTGCTAAAATAAAGCTCCAGATCACGAGTCCTGGGTGCCATCCCTGCTGCTCTGAGATGCACGCCAGTGTTGCGTTCGTTGGGCGCTCTGCTCGTGCCTCGTGCTTCCCTGCTTGGAGCAGGAGTGAGCTGTAGCAGCAGAGCACGGAGGTGTTCACAGAGGGACTGAGCAGACATGCCTTGTGACTCAGCATTGGCTCCATGGCCAGGTTTTGCTCCCCGTTGCACTCTCAGACGAGCTTTAGCTGAAGTCTAGTTCTGAGAACAGGAAAGCCACAGCTAGCTGTGAAGCCAGCGGTTATATAGGACTTACTTTGCTTTTGATTGTGGAGCAGGTTTGACCCTTCAAGTCAAAACTGTGCCTTCCCATGGCCTGTCAGACAGCCCAGTGCTGAGGTGGTGTGTGCGCTAGAGAGCACTGAATTGTGCAGTTAACCACAGAAAGAAATAACTGCCCTGGATTTACCTTGCCTGAAAAACACCCTAGGACAGTAACTGCAGTCTTCAGAGCATGAAGGACTGAGGGTTACGTGTCTGTCCTTCCAGGGAGGGACTGCTACCAGTGGAGGTCTTGGAGGGGAGAGGGTGGATGGGGAATGCCACTGCCTCTTGTGTTGTCAGGCTTGTCCAAGTACACCGGTGGGCGCCTACAGGTTCCCTCCAAATAGATGGCACCAAGCTGCTTAGCGAGGAAAGGAGAAAGCCAATACGTGTGGGAAAGGGTAGGCCAGGTTCTGGGCAGTAATTCTCCTCTTGTCCTTGTGCAGATGAAGGATGCAGATGGAAGGAGCCTGTTCAGCAAACTCAGCCCTGGCTGGCCCAATAATGCGTAAGTCTCTTGTGTTCTGCATCTTCTCACTGTTCCTGCAACTGGAACTCACTTATGCAAAGTCCAGATCCGAGTCCAAGTCCCCATCGGAGCAAACGAGAGGCTCTACGCTCCGATAATGGTTTGGTGTGGGGTGGTAGCGATAAATTGCTGTAACTATTGTGCACAATCCCATAACAGACAAAAGCTGCCATTGATTGGGTCTCGCCATGGGTCCCTCCAGCCCAGTCTCCTGTCTTGTACCATGGCAGAGAGCAGATGTTTGGGTGGGGTGGGGGGTATGGCTTAAATCTTCCACCCCCCTGCTCTTCTCCCAGTGCCACCGGGAAGTCTAGGAAGCTGCGACAGTTTTTTGAGGCTGCATGCCTATCTGTCATGCTCAGGACGTCCTGATGCCCCTTTCCTCCAAGAATCTGTCCTGTCCCCTTTGGACCTTGGGTAAGCTCCCAACATCCTGTGGCAATGAGTTTCACAAGCAAATGAGAGTGAGAGAGGATGTCCAGTGTTTCGTATTCAACATCCTACCTACCAGTTTTGTTCTGTCCCCTGCTAGGGGTGCAGTCTGTCAGGCTGTATCGTGACGGTCCGTGTGATTTCAGCCGCAGCACTTGCTGCCCACTTCCTCCTTGTAAAGCACCTCAAAGTCAAGTCTCGGTCCACAACCAAACTCACCTTGCAGACGTAATTGGCTTAAGCCCCACACTTGTTGCTGTTCCTGTCCCACACCAATTAAAGTGGGATTTGAGCATCTCTGCCTTGCTGGATTCTTGGCAGTGTAGCTCTTCCACCCCTCGCTGGTGGGTAGGAGTTTAAGCTCTTTGTTCAGAGCTGCTAATCGGTGAAATGCAACTTGCCACCTGCCCCATAAAGGGTTCCCATGTGGCACTGAGTGTCAGTCGCCCCTGAGCAGGATGCTTTGTTTTTGGGGCAGCAGAAATGCTTGCTGGTTCTCGTTCTGCAGCAGAGGATGTTGGGATATGTAGCCCACACACTACTGATCCAGCCCAGACCATGTACTGGAGCATCTGGAAACCTGGCAGGGAGGGAGGCCTCCAAGTAATTCTTCTGTTTCTCCCATTGCAGTGTTCCCCTCACCATGGAGAATGCGGCATTCCCCTTCCTGGCATATTCTGGGATCCCAGCACTGTCATTCAGTTTCTATAATGTAAGTCTCTACAGCTGCGTTTCTCAACCGTTTTACACTTGAGACCCCTGGATGGACTCGAGGCCCCCTTTGGAAAATGCCAGCTCTTAGTTTTTGCTCTTTTTTGCCTGCAGAAAACTAAGGGTTTTTCTGTTGCAAAGAACTCAAAGCCTGCAGCTATGGATTTCCATTTGAAATCTCTGGGTTTATCTTGTGAATCATGTTTGCACACCTAGCAGTGCTAACACCTATCCTGGCCCCCTGGTTGAGAATTGCTGCTCTACAAGCACCTAGTAGCAAAAGCTCTCTTGGTTTAGGGAGTTGATACCCTAGTTTTAGGATCTTTTTCCACTGCTCATTTTCTGTGATCCTATTCATATGACTGCACCCCCACCCCACTTGTGTTCTCTGCTCCCAGGTGTCACAGCAGTAGGGATACAGCAGTAAGGGGCATGCTCTGTGTTAAAACTAATACCAATTCAGCCTTTTGTGCAGAGCTCAAGCCAAATGATCTGTTTTTTCTGATCACAAATGCAGGGCACGCTTTGTTTGCCTGCATTAAGCTTTTGGCCATCACACAGGTCCCAGCAAGCTGCTTAAAACCAGGTAACGATTTGAATGGCTTTTGGCAAGCAGTTGTGATGGTTCTTGTGGCTGGTGGAACTTGCGTGGTGGTAAGGATAGCAGAGACCCTAAAACATCCCAGGTGCCTGAGAGCGTACTTGATACTGTGAGCAGCAGTGAGCTGTTCCACTCCAAGGCCGGTCCTCTTTCAGTCCAAGGCCTCACAAACAGCAAGAGGTCCTTGCTTCCCAGGCAGGGTGTGCAGAGAGCAGGTCGGCAACAGTCTGTGCGATGGTGACTCATCCCTCCAGTGTCGGGGTTGAAGGTTGACGGCAATACCCGGCTTATGTCTTTCAGAAGCAGCAGAAGTACCCCTTCATGGGCACCAAAAAGGACACTTTTGCGAATCTCCGCAGTGCTGTTCCAAACCTGAATGTCCTGATGCGTCAGGCCGCGGAGCTGGCCGGCCAGATCGCCGTGAGGCTAACCCACGAGCACGAACTGCTCTTGGACTATGGGAGATACAAGCAGGAGCTGCAGATGTTCCAGAACAAGATTGTGGACTACAACAAAGACATTAGGGTAAGGGCTGAACTGGCTGGAGTGGGCCTGTCCCAGTCTTGCGCATGCAACTTGGTCATTGCGGGGTCTGATTCTGCTGCTTGAACTTTGGGCATAAGGATAAATCATGAGGGATCAGTGGGGACTTCATGGGATCCCAGAAAAGCCTGGTCAGAAGGGACCTTACAAGGCCTTCTAGTCCAGTCCCTTGCTCAAGGGTTTGTAAGGGTCAGCCAGCCTGGCTGCCCCAGAAGTGAGCAAGCCCTTGGGGTGCTGAACCTTAAGCAGAGCAACTCCTGTAGTTTTTGCTTGACCAGCTTACCCTGGAAGTTGTGAACTTGGTGTCCTGTTGTGAAATGGGACCTGTGTTGCTGGTCATGGTGGAGCATGTCCAGCCTGCCTGTGCCAAGTGCTATTGCCCCTCAGCGGGTGCTGGTTCGTGGAAGCCAGGTTGCTGCTTGCCATGACTAGCAGGGCTTTCAGCAGGTTGCCGCCAGCAACTGTTTTTTTTCCCAAAGCTAGTCACGGGCTTGCATTGCAGTTGCAATAAACCAAGCCTCCTGCAAAATGCATGCTGAGCAACCCAGTTTCATAGTTTCTAGGGTCGGAAGGGACCTGAACAGATCATTAAGTCTGACCCCCTGCCCTGGGCAGGAACAAGTGCTGGGATCGTAATACCCCAGCCAGATATTATCCAACCCTCCTCTTGAGGACCCCCAAGGTCGGGGAGAGCACCACCTCCTTTGGGAGCCCATTTCAAAGCCTGGCAGCCCTAACTGTAAATAATACCTCCTGATATCAAGCCTGAACCTGCTCTCAATCAATTTATGGCCGCTATCCCTTGTTATCCTAGGTGGTGCCTGGGGGAACAGAGCCTCACCTATTTTCCGCTGGTCCCCCCGGTGGGGTTACAGGCAGCCACCAGATCCCCTCTGTCTTCTCTTGTGGAGGCTGACTAGATTCAGGCCCTTTAGTCTATTTTCGTAGGGCCTGGCCTGCTGCCCCCTGACCATGTGAGTGGCCCTCCTCTGGACCATCTCAAAGTTAGCCACATCCCTCCTGAAGTGCGGTGCCCAAAAGTGGCGCAGTGCCCTAAGTGTGGCCTGACCAACACGGCATAGAGGGGAAGGATTGCCTCCCTGGACCTGCTCGTGGTGCATCTGTAGATGCATGACAAGGTGCGGTTAGCCTTACTGACCTCTTCCTTGCATTGGCGGCTCGGGTCCATCCTGGGGGCCACAAAGGACCCAGGATACCTTTCTGCCACTGTGTTGACAATACCTTTCTGCCACTGTGTTGACAAGAAGGGTGTTCCCCAGTCTATAGGTGTGTTGCTGGTTCCTTCTCCCTAGATGCAATACTCCGTACTTGTCTGCATTGAACTCCATCCTATTCTCATCTGCCCACTTCTGTAACCTGTCTAAATCTAGTTGGATTTTGTCCCTTCCCTCCAGTGTGCCCACTTCTCCCCACATCTTTGTCATCAGCAAATTTGGACAATGTGCTTTCCACGCACACCTCCAAGTCGCTGATAAAGATGTTGAATAGCACAGGCTCGAGGACCGAGCCCTGGGGAACTCCACTGCCCGCATCCCTCCAGGTCAAAAACGACCCGTCCACCACCACTCTCTGGGTGTGACCATTGAGCCAATTTACCACCCATCTGACTTTGTTGGCATCAATGCCACATTCGCCTAGTTTTTTTTTTATGAGAATGGGGTGAGAAAGTGTCAAAGGCCTTCTTGAAGTCCAGTTGGTGATCACAGCACTGCTCTTCCCTGCCAGAAAATGGGCCTGACCTTGCAGTGGGTGTTTTCAGCCCGCGGGGACTTCGAGAGAGCTGTGGATTCCCTGAAGAGAGACTTGAGAAACAGTGACTTAAGCGACAGACTCATTTGCCGAGCCAGCAACGACCGGATCATGAAGGTGAGTGTTCCTCGGGTGGCTGCGCAGGCAGACAGCTTCATGCTTTCCTCCACAGCCTTCCCCCCTGCCAAGGGCTTGCTCTGTGCGCTGTGACCCGGTGCCGGGGGCATTGCAGCAAGTCTGGTTTGACCCGGTCCAGGAGATGTGTATCGCTGCATGCCTGTTAAACTACCATGACAGCTTGTTCAGGTCTGTCTTAAGACGCTGTCTGTCCACATGCTGGTTGCAGCCATCCTCCTCTAGTGACAAGTCTAGGTGTAGCCAGGAACTCCTGGACTAGCTACTGACACAGGCTGCATCCCTACCGCCTGGGTGACTGCTGGCTTGTTCTTGCCTCGATGCGAGAGCTGCTCTGAACTCCTCCCTGTTGCTTTCCTTCAGGTGGAGTACGACTTCCTGTCCCCCTTCATCTCTCCGAGGGACAAGCCGCTGCGGCACATTTTCTTTGGCTCTGGCCCCTACACCCTGCAGGCCCTACTGGACCACCTGAGCCTCCTGAAGACCAACAGAAGTGCCTTTGACCAAGACCTGTTCAGGAACCAGCTGGCCATGGCAACCTGGACGATTAAGGAGGCTGCCAATGCCTTGTCCGGTGATGTTTGGGACACGGACAATGAGTTCTGAATGCATGGTGCTGAGGTGCAGAAACCAGGAAGCCCCCTCCCTTGAAGCAGCACTGAAATACCTACCCTAAATCTCGGAGGGAGTGATGGGGGGAACGCTAAATTTGACCCAAGTTGCCCTTCCAATTTCGGTCTCATCCTGACAAATCCCCAAGAGGCAGCGCTCAAGTGGCAATTAGCGCATCCTCCATCCAATTTGGTCTCCTTCCCTTGAACAAACACGGCTCCCCCCTGGTTCTAGCCCACTTAAACATGCCGCTCGGTGCTGCCTCCCCTCGTGCTTGAGGACAGATGGCTCCAGCTGCTAGTCGAGCACGGCTTACACTGAATTCCCATCTGAAACAAAGCAGGTGCCTCTTCAGGGGATATACCTGGGTCTGCCTGAGTGTTTTGAATCTTGGCCTCAACCTTGGAGAAACGGGCAGTGTGTGTCATAATTTGAGGTATCCTGAGCACTTCCAGGTCCCCTGCTCCTAGGAGCGGGGGGCCTGGAGGGGAAACGAAATGATTTGGCTCCATTGCAGGCTCACACCGCAGTAGCCCTTGACTGTGGCTGTCGGCAGGCTCTGAAGTGCCCGGCCATCCCAACCCTCTGGGTGACTGGGCAGAAACATCTTGGCTTCTCCCAAGAAGAAGATTCAAGACCATGTTCCTCTTCCCAGAGCTCTGGGTCCCAAGGGGGAGATGAGCCAAAGATTTATCTTATGTCCCTTACATGTTCCCTCTTGGTCTTCTGAATAAAAATAAAGGGTCCCCTAGTAACCAGAGCTTGGGATGGCTACAAGGGGCACTTCAGACCCTGTTGCTTTGGAGGCCTCTCTTGAAACCCAGAATCTCTTGCTAGCCAAATCGTTGGCCAAAATGTTGGGAAAACTCTCAGGAGGACACTCATTTGGCACTGAGATATTTATTTGTGTTTTTATTTATTTATCAGTGACAGAGTTCACTATAAATGGGATTTGATTTTTTTTTTATAGAAGATAATTATCGGAAGCAGTGCCTTCCATAATTATGACAGTTATACTGTCGTTTTTGAATAAAGCAGCATCTGCTATTAAATCGAACATAGTACTGGAATTTTGCAGTCAGACTCTCAACAACGAAGCATCTGGCGGAAAGCTAATTGACAAACCGGCTTTCTGTGCCCAAAGGAACATGCCATAACGCATCTGGAAGCAATCCTAAGACTTGAGCATCATCCAGGGATCCAGATGCTTTGGGTCTTCAGCAACCCCCTGAAATGCATGATGCAGACTAAAATGGGACAAGGAATCGGGCTCATCTGCTAGGAGGCCTGGTTGGAGCGCTCTCCTCCTTGCTTCTTCTGATTGCTGTGACATACAACACATGCAGCTTGCTAAATTGACCATAGCGGGCAGAGCTTGGCAGATGATGCCCCTTCCATTAAAGGCATTAAATGCATCTTTCCAAATTCCTTTGGAGCTCCTGATGGAGACAAATCCAGACTCAGATTGCAAGGTCAGGCTGTTCTTAAGTGACTTCGTTGCAAAAATTCCAGTACCTAATGTCTCGGGAGAACCTAACTGACATTATCGGGAGCAGTGTCTTCCATAATGGATAAAGAACAAGGTAGTTTTTGCCTACCACGGTGTTATATCGGAGGCAGTGATCTCCATATGTTGCACTAAGGGTGTATGTCATTATCGGGGACAGTGTTTCCCATAATCGTTCTATGCTTCTCATGCAGTGACATCTACCAAGCTTGATGGTTAGTATCTAACAGGTATCAATTCCCTGCAATCATTGTCTTTCACTCTCCTTGTGGTGGTGCAGATATTAAATTCGACCCACTCTGTTGTAGGCTTAGGTGTTCCCTGTAGCTGTGCTGTCTTGAAGTGATTCCCTCTAGATGGTCGCATGGCTAGGATTTAAATGTTTTTAGAGTTGTTAAAGCTTTTTTCTTTTCTTTAGGGCTGTATGATTTAGTGAACTGTCTTGCAATAAATGTGCTTATTTGGGTGTGGGGAGTGGTGGTAGCTTTCCTGTTGGAAGGGCTCTTCACAAATAGGTACTACTGAAATTTAAAGCCTAATGGGTAATCTCAGGAAGCAGGTTGCTTTGTGAAATGGATATTGCTGGAGCCCCCCAGTCCTTTGCCCTGGGAAAAATCAGCATGATGGGAAGGTCTGAGATCTCTAACCCATATGTCTGTATTCATATTCATAGATGTTAGGGTCAGAAGGGACCTCAATAGATCATTGAGTCCGACCTATATTGGTACCTTCTTGGCCCATCAGACCAGCTTACAGCCAGGAATGCACCCTGTCAAGAGGTCTGCCTCTTTCAAAGACTAGGTGGTGGTTGAATCAGTTCTTTTTGTGACTACTTGTGAAGCTGCACATCATGGCCAGGTCTGGTCTCAGGCAAGTGGCATAAGGAATAGCAGAAAAGAAACTTCTTGTCGTTGGAGGACAAAAAACACTGTAGTAAGTGTAGCTGAAAGAGGATCGGGGGTGTTGGTTATAGCTGTGTTGGTCTAAGGACATGGGCAGGCAAGGTTATTTGGGTAAATGCGATCTCTTGTATTAAATGCAAACCCAAATAACCTTGTTTGTTGGAAGGGGTAGGAACTCCTGGCCACTGTGGAAGGCGCATGCATTTTTCTGGGTCTTCCACTGTATGGTGTAGCCATGACCACGTTAGCCTTGATGTATGTAACCGCCTGGTTTGCTGCTGCTTTCCAGTGGTGCCCTCTACTCCCAGTAGCACTTAGCAAGTGTGAATGCTATCCTGTGGGCAAGGCCTCGCCGTAGCACTTGCATGCATTTCCTTGGTGTCAAAACTTTGTGTTCATTACGCTTTGTAACGGGCAGGGATGAAGTGGAGGCTGCCTGTCTTCCGCAGGCATTCCTTCCCTGGTGCTGAGATTTGGCGTGGGGTGCTTAGCTGGGGTCACCCTGCTGTCTGTTCAATAAACATCACGTGTGAACGCTTCTACCTGGTGCCGTGTCTCTGTCCTTGAGAACAGCCTCAGCCCTCTGAAAATGCCCCTTCCTCAGAGAAGACCTCCTCAGGGTCAGCTTGGATGCTGGTGTTGATCCTTCCCATGCAGCTGCCCCCCCCCCCCCCTTGCTGAAGTAGGTCTTCCAGCTCAGTGAATCCTACACTCAAGCTGTTTTTCTGCTATGTGGGCTATACAACAATGGTACCAACATCCCAGTGGATAGACCCGAGGTTGCTTGGTCCCAAGACAGCTAGCAAGCAGATAATGCAGCCAGCCTGGGCGAAAAGCAAAAAACAGCTCTGTGCAATTGCATTGCCAGCCTCTGCAGCCCTGTCTTGGGCTGGCTCAGCTGCAGGCGAGGTGATGAATGTGCAGCTGCAGGCTCCTGCCTGTCACGGATGCACTGAGGCTGGAACATGCTGGGAGCCAAACAGCCTTCCTCATTGCCACGGCCCCGGAGGGTGGGAAGCCACGCGGCAGTGTGAATCTTGGCCTTGCGGCAGCTTAACAAAACTGTACTGCAGCCTGCCATGGTCATTAGCACTGCGCTAGCCCCTGCAACCTGGTGCGGGGCAGGGGAGAGCATCCCCACGGCCTGTTGTGCCAGGTGCTGTACCTAAACGTGGTATGGATCTTCTCCAAGGAGCCAATGCTTAGCAGGGCCTGAAGGACAGCAAAGGAGCTGCTGGGGAGGTATTAGGGTGGATTGTCTGCCTGGGAGGGTGGGGGAGCCCTGGGGCGGATTAGCTGCAGCCAGCGAGATCTGGGATGTGCAGGTGAAGGTTCGCGTGGGCCGGCGCGGCAGGGCTGGTCCTGCCCCGAGCAGGGCTGGGCCCGCTGCTCCTCTGCGAGGGGAGGCCAGGCGCAGCGAGGAGGACCCAGGCGCTCCTGATGTGGGTAAGACGGGGGCCACTGACTGGGTCAGACCACAGGTCCATCTTGCCTCCAGGCTTGTGTGTCATATGGGGGTCTCGAAGGGAGACCAGGGTTTTCCTCCCTGTTCCACTCCCGCTTGCAGCTTCCAGCATTTAAGGTCCAGGATATCCTGAGGCAGAGGCCGTGCCCCTCATTCCCCTGCTCAATAGTGCCTAATGCCCCTTTCCTCCAAGCACGTGTCCAACCCCTTGGTGAATCTGGCTGAACTTTCAGCTTCCAGCACATTTGGTGCCCGCGAGTCCCACCCTTGAATGCCATGCTGCATTTGGTGTAAACTGACGGCCCGCCCGTTTTGTGTTGACCCCTCACCCTTGCACTGCGAGAGTCAATAATCCCGACGCACTTTGTCTTCACTGAGTATGTTGCAGGCCCTTCTCAAGCCCCCGATCGAGCATCTCTCCTCTAAATGCAGCAGGCCTTGGCCTCATTCAGGTCTTCCCCCATACCCCTTGTCCAAGGAACCGGGGAGGATGTGGGGGGCAGGGGGCTGTCTGACCTCGAGCCCTCGTGCTGTTAGCCCTCAGGGCCAGGACACCAGCTGCCAGTGTAGCCGTTCACGTGCCCTCCTTGAGGTCCCATAGCAGGGGAAACAGTGACCCCAGCAGCTGCCCCAAACTCAAGGTTCAAGCATCATCTCCCTGCCTGGGCTGGCTGCACCCACGGAAGAGGCTCAAGGCCGTGCCCCAAGGTCTGGTGCACGGACCTGCCCTGGGGCCTGCTCCCTCCTGGGTTGCAATCTAGGCCTGGCAGCGCTGCCCCGTGCCTGGCGCCCAACCCGCGTTAGCGGACACACGTGCGCTGCGCTGCGCTGCGCGCTCCAAACCGCCCCCCCCCCGCCCCGGCCAGGAGAGCG